ACCAGAAGCTCCCAAGAGGCCCCCAGGAATCCGCAAGAGGCCTCGAGAGGCCCCCAGGAAGCTCCAAGAGGCCTCCAAAAGGCGCCGAAAGGGCCCCGCAAGGCTTCCAGACGCTGGTGATAATGACAATGATGATTATGCAGGGCGGCCTCAGGCCCACAACCTAAATCCCCAATACTGCTCACGCGGCATGCAAGACGCTGCGGAGATATCCTCGAGTTCGGCGGGGGAGCTTCGGAGACGACGGTGACGAAAATGATGACGATGATGACGACTATAATGAAGTTGACGACGACGATGATGATGATGATGATGATGATGATGATGATGATGATGATGATGATGATGATGATGATGATGATGAGGAGGAAGACGATTATGATGATTATGTTGACAGTGGGAATGATGATGCTGATGATGATGATGATGTTGATGATGGTGATCGTGATGTGAGTGATGGTGGTGATGATGTTGGTGGTGATGCTGACGATCATGATGACGATGACGGTGATGCCGTTGAGGATGGTGATGTTGACGATCATTATGATGATGCTGCTGATGGTCAGGATGATAACGCCGATGCTGATAATAATGGTGGCGATGCTGTTTATGGTGCTTGTGATGCAGGAGTGGGCGGATGATGAAGATGATGACGATGATGATGACGATAACGATGACGACGATCACGACGACGACGACGACGATAATGATGACGATGGCGATGATGACGATGATTATGTTGATAATTCAGGTGACGATATTGACGATGATGACGACGATGGCGATGATGACGATGGTGATGACGATGTTGCTGCTGATGGTGGTGATGGTGACGATTGTGATGGTCATGGTGATGATGACGATGCCGCTGACGATGACGCCGGGTATGATGGTGATGAGGATGGCGATGATGACGATGACGATTATCCTAGCTAGAACTTGAGCGCGCGCGAAGCGCGCGCGATGGTTGTAGTGTATATATGCATTTACATGCATACACATACAACCATACATACATACATACGCATATCCATACACACATGCATACATACATGCATACATGCATATGTACGTAGGTGCATGCACACATGCACACACAAACATAAGCACGCACGTTCATTCTTATACGTCCACTCATATACAAACATACATCGGCACATACATCTATATGCAACCGCACTTATACGCATACAAACGCATATATGCAACCATACACATACACACATACATATCCATACACAAGCATACAAACACACGTAACTGCATACATACATACATACATACATACATACATACATACATACATACATACA